TTGTTATCCTCGTTAGTATTCTTCTCATTACCATTGTAATTAATACTTTTTTATTTACTATTATCATTATTACTGTTATTATTATTATCATTATTATTATTGTTATTATCATTTTCATTATTATCGTTATTTTCATCATCATTTTCAATTATTATTATAATAATTATTATTGATATAATTATTATTATTATTATCATCATCATCATTCTCAGTATTATCATTACTATATTTATCATCATTATTATTATTATTGTTATTATTATCATTATTATCATTATTGTTATTGTTATTATCATTATCATTATTGTTATTATATTCATTATCTTTTTTATCTATTATTAGTTATTATTATTAAAATTATCATCATTATCATCATCATAACCATCATTATAATCATTATCATTATTATCATTATCATTATTATTTTTATTACTATTATAAGCATCACTTTCATTATTATTTCTGTTTTTTTATTATCATTATAATTATCATTATTATTATCATCTTTATCATTAGCATTGCTATTGTTATCATTATCGTTATTACCATTATCGCTATCATTATCATTATTGTTTATTATTATTGTTATTATTAACATTCTTTTCCTTTTTCATAAAATATTTAAACGACCATCTGAGGGGAGAGCTTAAAAAGGGAGGTAAGACAGTAAGGGGAAAGAAAGGGAAAGAAAGAAAGATGTAAAGAAGAAAAGGAGAGAGAGAGAAAAAAAAAATGAGGGGAAAAGGTTGCTTATAGGGGAAAGGGAGGACGGGAGGGGGATGGAGGCGTAGAGAGATAAAGAGAGATGGCGGAAGGGAAAGGGAAAGAGGGGGGGGATGGAGGCGTAGAGAGATAAAGAGAGATGGCGGAAGGGAAAGGGAAAGGGGGGGGGATGGAGGCGTAGAGAGAAAAAGAGAGATGGCGGAAGGGAAAGGGAAAGAGGGGGGGGGGATGGAAGCGTAGAGAGATAAAGAGAGATGGCGGAAGGGAAAGGGAAAAGGGGGGGGATGGAGGCGTAGAGAGAAAAGAGAGATGACGGAAGGGAAAGGGAAAGGGGGGGGATGGAGGCGTAGAGAGATAAAGAGAGATGGCGGAAGGGAAAGGGAAAGGGCGGGGGGGGGGGGGGGGGGGAATGGAGGCGTATAGAGATAAAGAGAGATGACGGAAGGGAAAGGGAAAGGGGGGGGGGGGACAAGGGGTCTGAAATGGGGGGATGGGTAAGGGGAAGTGGAGAGATGGTTAAAGGGAAAGGGAGGAGGAGTGGGAGGGGACGGCAGAATTTGAAAGGAAGAGGCAAGTTTTTAAAAGTACTTATTCAGAACTTGGAAGGTGAGAGAAAGTGGTGGATAAGATGGCGAAAGAAGAAGGAAGGAGGAGTTGAGATTTTTTTTCGCAAGTATTTCATTATCGTTATTGTTATTATCATTATCATTATTGTTATTATTTTCATTACCTTTTTTATCTATTATTAGTTATTATTATTAAAATTATCATCATCATCATTATAATCATTATCATTATTATCATTATCATTATTATTAGTATTACTATTATTAGCATTCCTTTTATTATTATTTCTGTTTTTATCCTATTATCATTATCATTATTATCATTATCATTATTATCATTATCATTATTATCATTATCATTATTATCATTATCATTATTATCATTATCATTATTATCATTATCATTATTATCATTATCATTATTATCATTATCATTATTATCATTATCATTATTATCATTATCATTATTATCATTATCATTATTATCATTATCATTATTATCATTATCATTATTATCATTATCATTATTATCATTATCATTATTATCATTATCATTATTATCATTATCATTATTATCATTATCATTATTATCATTATCATTATTATCATTATCATTATTATCATTATCATTATTATCATTATCATTATTATCATTATCATTATTATCATTATCATTATTATCATTATCATTATTATCATTATCATTATTATCATTATCATTATTATCATTATCATTATTATCATTATCATTATTATCATTATCATTATTATCATTATCATTATTATCATTATCATTATTAATCATTTCAAATCTCAATGTCATGAGTACTATTACATGTCCTTTTTTTCCTGTTATCTATATAAAAAAATCATATCTCCACATATTTCGTATTCTGACAAGATTGACAATTTAATGAATGCGGCAAAGTCTGCAAAAGTGGCACCAAGCTAGCGAACTGTGCCGTTAACCTTTGACTGGATCTAGAGGATTGTATTTTATAACCGGCTCGTGATATTTGTTTAATAAAATTTCATAACAACTAATAAAGCATGTGTGTAGTTTCGATATAAAAGCTGTTTTTATCGAATTAGATATTTTAGTTATAATATGACTTAAATAACTGGTGTGTATCAATCAAATCATAAATACTTTATCCTGTGCGATATTCTCTGTTTCGCGAGCCTGGTTTAGAAGCGGCTCTTTGTTTACATTCAAAATGGCGAAGACTTACGGAGACAAGCCAGTTAGCTTCCAGCTTGAGGAAAATGGCGAATTTTGGTGTATTGGGTCTGAGGTAAGATATTTTGAAGACTTTTTATTGTATAAGTAGTCTTTTGTTACCTGTTAATTAGTATACATTAACCCCCAATAGGATATATGGCTGTGATTTGGTCACCGATATTATACCGGGTGAAACCAAGGATGGAGTGTTGCTGTCATTTGTTGAGGTATTTTAGGCTTAATGGTCCTCATATGCTAGCTATTTCTTCCATGCATAATAAGTTTTAAGAAAAATGAAAAAGTCATGATTTTAACGATGCCAGGAAATCATAAATTGTGTAATAATGTGTACAATAGCTCCCCTCAACATCAACTGCCATTCATACTCGTCCAAACCCTTATATTATCAGTTAAAGTACATGCATACGTGTATTTGGTATTTTTTTTCTGAATATGTCCGCATCTGAAATTCTGTCAAGCTTGGCAATAATGGATTCCACAAGATGTACCGTGGAATCCATTACTATAGTAGTAGTTTGTCTAGTTTGTCAGCAAAAGACAACAATGGCAATGATACTAGGTCTGACATGAGGGGGTGGGCATATGATATCTTTAGGAAGCAGTGTGATTGGATTATGCACCATTTACACTTATTTGTTATTGTCTGGAGGTTGTACCCAACATCCCACTCACAGTTGATCCCATCCCTTGCACAGGAATAACATCCCATCATGTTATGTGCTGCGGGGCATGCTCTAATTTTTGTGTAACAAAAAATGTTGTTTGCTGTGGTCATTGCAGAGAAACAGCTATGAAAAAGTGGGCTTTTCTTAGATGCATTTCCCAAACGATCATTTATGTTGCATTCAAGAGCATAGAGAGCAGGGTAAATTTATGTTTCCTTCACCTCTAAGTTTTACTTAATCCAGTCACCCCACATGGCAAGAATACATGCCAATCCCACTGTAATACAAGTTATCTATTGTGTTTACACATAGATGGCTCTACAAGTGTTTAGTCATCAAAGAGACAGTTATTAGTCCTACCTATCCCTCCTTTTTACTCTATTCCTCGACTTTTGGAAAAGGTTTTTTGCACTGTTTAATTATCTTGAATGTTACTGAGATTTTATTAACAATTTAATAGTCATAACTACAATAACATAATAATAGTATCAATATGAACTGTATTAAAAAGAAAAACCTATTTCCCCACCAATTCAAGGTAGGGGGAAATCAGGATTGGTCACTAGAGCTACTGATAGACTCTGCCAGCTGAGCACATGTGGGGCCATCTGTATGAAACAACATTCACAAAGATATACAGGGGACAGAACATAAATCCAGGGCGGTTGAGTCAAAGCAGCTGACTCCATCCAAACCTCAGCTCGTGGATTGGTATGGTACTGAGAGCTGTCACCTTGAGTGGGTTAAAACCATACCAAACTGAACAGTGATTGTAGGCATTAATTCTTGCCATATACAAGCTAAGCCTAAATGTTGGGTTGCAAGCCACACACAGAGATATTCTGCACTAAATAGTGTAGAAGATGCCATAAGCCTTTAAACGCTTATGAAAAATATACCTGCAGGGACTCAGGTAATCACTGTAGCCTCTACAACATCTCCACTCTTAACAGAAAAACAACAAAACCTCTGCTATGTTGTCCTTTTGAGTTGAAGCCTGGAACCCATCCTGGCAATTTCAGTCCAAGATCTTTATCTTGTTGAATACATGAGTTAGTGATTTGTTGGCTTTTACTTATGCTTGAAAATCATGGAGGTCATGGTGAGTGCAGGACTTCCTCTCAGGCATATATGGTGTTAGGTTCTTTAACCCAATTAGCACAGGTGGCAAGACTACAATGCCAGTTTTAAAAAAAACTTCTGACATTGGGTTAATGAACATGAAATGAAATACAGTAAAGATAAATGTGGGGTATTATTTTATATGATCTTTTTGTGCATATAATTATGATTTTATTACATATGTACCATACATGTGGATTACAAAACACAATTAATAGTAAGTCCACATCAGGTTATTAAGAACACCCAGGAGACTGTGATGAAGAATTTCTTTTTTCAAGGTACTAGATAACAATCTAGTCATACCTAGAACATAGAATTGAATTCTTATTGTTTTAACAAACTGGAATATGGAATTGAATTAAGATTAGCTTAGTAATGTATGGGTATGGAATTAAATTAGTTTCATAAATATTGTTAATAAAGAAGCTTTAGTCCCTAGACCTTAAACAAGTAAATTCACCTGTAAGAATGATATCATATCCTGTTAATTATTCTAACACACTCTTTCTATTTTTCAGGTGGGCAACTACCTGCGGTTGTTCCGTGGGTCACTCTACAAGAAGTTCCCTGGCATGTACAGGAGATCCATAACCAATGATGAGCGAAAGAAGTTGATGGAATTGGGTAAGATGTCATTAACCCTTTATATATGGAAAAATGGCTTACATGATTTACAAG